TGTCTACTCACACAGAGAGGTGCCGGCTACCACCGCGGCCCTCGAGAGGTGGCGGCGAGCTTCTTAACCCCAGGCCGCGGAACTGCCAGGTTCACCTCCCCAGAAAGGCCGCGAGCTGAACTACGGCTCCACAGAACTACGACTCCCGTCACGCCTCGGACCGCCCCAACTGCGCTTCCCACAGGGCACCGCGCGAGGCCACTTCCGGGAGGTGGACGGCCTCTCCCCGCGGCAACCGGAAGCGAGGGCTAGAGGTGTGTGGCGGGCGGGGTTGCCTCAGGGGTCCGCAGACAGCTAAGGGTGCGTCGTGCAGGCACAATGTTTTGACAAAACTAACCTGGATTGGATGTCTTTATTTGTAATTAGTATGTACGATGAAGATTCCATATGCATAGGTACAGTTGAAGGATGACCTAATGCACATCCAACACACGAGAGACAAAAACGTTACCAATATTTTGTAAGCTTTGACCACAGCGCTCTCCAAGGCATCTTCCTGAATTGTTTTTGACATTTCCTTATTATGATGGCTACATGTAATGTACGAGAATTCTCTCGTTCCTGATGTGTATACTATGATCCCCGTTCTGCTGTGCTAACAGAATTGAAGGGTCAAAGTGTAGGGTTAGGGGTCTGTACACAGTAAAAAAAATAGAATGGGGGTCTCATTAGATCTAGCTAATCCTAACTGGACGGAATTAAAAACAAACTTTACTAGAGAAATTCCCCTGGGCGCAGGTCAAGGACAGGGGTAGAGAAAGAGAAAAACTAGATAAAGGCACCAAATGGTCTTGGAACTTCTGGCTATTCCTAAATTGTATTCTTTAAAACAAATAAACATGTTCCCTGAGATCTGTCTGTGGGACATTCTAGCAAATTACTGAACCTGAAGCCAGGGTCATGGGCACTGTGATTTATGGCTGATTGAACAGAGGTAACACATGTCCCGGGACCTGATGTTGGCGTCTGTATGTTGGAATCCTTCTGTGAGGAGTCCCCTCAATCTCTGGAGTCTGACACTGACTCCAGAAAGTTACTGTCAGAACTGAACTAAGGGTTATTGTTTGGAGACTCGAGGAGCTGGTTGTTGGTGTTGGGAAATAGCCCAACACATCCTTAATGTAAAATACGCAAAAGGGGTCACAGGACTTTTAAACTGGGTAGTAAAATGCTTGGAAGTCATCCAACAAGAAAAAAACTGAACAGAAAGTCAGTAACTCTTCTTAGATATACCAGAGAACTGAGGCCTCAGAGTAAATCAGAGCCCCCAGACTGGGGAGATGTACAGGCAGACTCAGAGAATCATAGCTTACTAGGGCACAAACAGGTGCAGAGCTCTGCTGCAGGAGCCAGTGCTAGTTTGAACACTTAATCTGTAGTCAATTACTGACAGTTCGGTGTAAATAAACCTGAGGGTTAGACGCTCCAGAAAGACGCCAATCGTAAATGGCCTCCATACTTCAGTAATTTTACCTTCGGAAAAGCTACTTATGACTGAGTGAAGCTCAAGAGAAAAATCTCTGTGCTTCCGGCAGGGGGAAGAGGTGAATTTTAAAAGAAAGGGAACGTGTGTGTGTGGGGGTGGTGGGGTATCTTAGGAATTATAATTCTGGAGAGGCAGACTCAGCACTGTTCTAAGGAGATAAAGTAGGAACTTACATAAATAAGTAAGCAGTCCTGAGTTATTGCACAAACAGTAAAAAACCCTTTAGTAGAACATTTCTACTGAGGTTGAAAAGAAATAGACTATATGATACATGATATGATGGAGTACATTAAAGATAGGAAAAGTGGGCTGGGAATTTAGCTCAGGGGTTTCACCACCTGCCTTGTAAGCACAAGGGCCCGAATTCAATCCCCGATTCCAAAAATAAAAAAGGAAAAGATATATCTAAAATAAGAGTGTAATAACCTCTGCACACTTACCTTGAGTCGGGGGCTACAATGCAATTAATTATGTGACTATGCCAGATGTCTGCAGCCAAGGTGTGAAGGGCACCAAGAGTTCACATGCCCAGGTAACAGCTTGATATGCACAAGTGCCAGGCCCTATTTGAATCTCTAGAGAAACTCTAAGACAACAGGAAGATAAAAACAAAGACACTAAATGGCAGTTTTCACCTCTGACACACACTCAGATAAAGTAAACACAGCCTGCTTTATGATGGGGATTTAGCTCAATGGTTCCCGCACCTGCCTTGCAAACGCAAGGTCCTCAGTGTCCATCCCGTTACAAAATACAAAACAAAAAAATCCACAGCCTACTTCCTAGCCAATAAAGCTTCACACTGAAGGCATTTGCCTCTACTGCTTTTGCTAATAGTGCTTCAGTGGGGCGTGATCAGCTGGGTATGAGCAACTTGGTCTAATGCTGTTGGTAAGAGGAGGAGCTCTAAGAACAGATGATTGCTGACTTCTCAAATTTTATATACTTTAAAAAAAATACAGATTCTAGTCTAAAACCTGTGTTTTAGCATTTCTTCCCAAGTTCCTAAGTGATGTCAATGTGCTGCTCTTAAAATCACAGTGCACTAGAAATAGAGCATCAGATTTATTGATGCTGAAATTGTTATTAGTGTCCTTCACAAGAGTGGTTCTGATGACACTGTAAAGGCAACCTGACTGGAACAGGTTCAAATAGAACAAGAACCATTGTGGGACAGTGAGAATACAGGACTCTTGCAAAGGGATCTTTGTAACCTCTTTAAAGTGGGACTATTTCTGGAATCAAAGGTGGGTTCAAACATTTGTTCTCAAGAGGGGAGCAATAACATTTTTCTATGCTACTAGAATTTAGAAAGGAAGGGAAATGATGTAACACAGATTGGAAATTGCTGAAACAAGGCCTCTGAGCTGCTGACAGGACTGGGCTGTGGATCACAAGTAGTGGGGAAGGCTTTACAAAGGAACAAGGACAACTCACGTACAAGATTAGTGGACAGAGCGGGCACAGATGGTTAAGGGGCAGATGTGGTGGAAACCCGTGTCTCCTGCAGCTCTTACTATTTTTGTTTCTTTTTTACACTGCCACTGGCTACTTTTTGTGAGTTAACACATAGGCCTCTTATACTTAGCTTTCCGGAAGCAATATAAGTATTTTAAGTGTTTTCACATGCTGACTTTAATACTTGTTTCCTGTACCTTTTGTATTTCTATTTTTTAAAGTTTTTTAAAAATTTTTAAATTGAATTTATTGGTACATTCTAGGTAGACAGTGCAGTTACATTCATTACTGGGATCTTGTACCTTTATATTTTAAAAAATTTATTTAGAACTTTACCCATTATTTTTGAAAGACCCACAAAAGGATAATTTGTTCTATTTTTTTCTGCTTTTTTAATTAGCAACATATTAAATTCTTAGACTTGGTGTCTGACTTTCATGTATCTCATTCTTAACATTTTAATTCTTTTTCTTTTCTCTGTTTTGTGGGAGGACCCTTCAAGGTTATCTTCTAAGCTTATAGAATTCAGTTTCTAAAGTGATTATTCTCCCACTCTCTTTTTAATGTGGTTTTTAAAAATAATAATAATCTGTTTTTTAAAGTGTACCCAGCATACCGCATCCATTCATTAGTAAGAAATCCACTATTATCCTGATCCTACAGGCCCTGGGTCCAATGTGATAGAACTCACATGGACTATTTCTCTCCCTCTCCCTCTTTCCCTTCCTCTCCCTTCCATCCCTCCTTTGCTTCCTTCCTCCTCAGAAAATAAAAAAGGCAAAGTGAAGAAAAGGTGAAATGGAAATTGCTCCTAATTACTGTTCAGGAATTTGAAAGGCTAGAGCCAAATGGATGCACTGTGTTTAAAAACTAGGTAACAACTCTTCTCTAATCTTTTTCTCATCATCAGAGATCACCTTAATGTGAACAAACTTTACCCTCGCTGAGGGGAACGTGAAATGGTGCAGCCACTTTGGAATCAGCTCTGCAGTGTCTTAGTGGGATGGGTGTGAGTGTGTGAGTGTGTGTGTGTGAAACCAGCAGAAGATAAGGGTTATTTCCGTCTTTATTTGTGCAGCTCCAGGACAGCAATGACTCCCTGTCTCTGAAGGGAAGGCATCTTTCTCAGGGAATCCTTATGGCTTGCTGCCTACAGGAAAGGCAGATCAGAGAGCTCTTTCTGGAAATGCAATGTCTCAAGTGCCTTCACTTGAAATAATCAACCTAAAAATGTGGCAGCTTTTGCTTTGATATATCCTTAACTATTTCACCACAATTTCCACTGCCACCCCAACTCTCCCAAGTCATCTAGAAATCATGCTTTGTTTTTGCTGACAGGCATAGGTATCTATTACAAGCTTGGATTTAATCCAAATCTTGTAACAAACAGAAAGGACCCAAAGACCAGTTTGAAGCATTTCCCAAAAGGCCACGTCTGAGACAATTTCAGCATCAAAATAACACTCATGGAAATAAATGAAATTAACAAATTAAGATAACTGAATAACACAGAAAACCATGCTTCCAGAATCACAGAAATAAATACAGAGAATATTAAACTCTTCTTTAAGCCTACTAATAAGTGTAAAATAAATGATGAAATTGTCAAAATCCCCATTTGGAAACCAGTTAGTAACTGATTAAAGCAAGCTCAGAGGGTGCTAAGCCTAAGGGGGTGCGAGTGTAACAAGTAAAATATATTATCATCATATTAATGACTACAAAGGGAAAAATTATAACTTTCCCTTGGAAAACCTGACAGACAACATCTTAACCAAGAGAACAAAGTTAAAATTACCAAGTAGTAGAAGTTAGTATAACAAGCCCCTAGAATGATACTATAACAGACTGGGAAGGATATTTCTTCTCTAGTGTTCTTCCTAAAGAAACAGCATAAATCTAATGAGGACACTGGATAGACCCAGCAGAGGGCTGGACTAGAACATAAGTAACCTGGCTAGTTTCTCAGATCTCTTCAGGAGAAAACACGTTTCATAACGTGATGGCAAATGAAGTCATAGCCCCAAACTACCCAAAAGGACACTGTAAAAACTGAATTACTCTAAACACTGTTAAGTATGATCTATCAGGCACGCTCGCCTCCCCAGTTCTTACGCAGGACCTTGGGCTGACTCCAGGACCAAATTAACACAAGAGATGAACAAGAGAAAAGAATAAAGTTCATTGATTTTATACATATAAAAACACCCTCTCAAAGGTGCAAAGACCTGAAGAAAGGAGCAAAACAAAATGCTTTTATACTTTTTAGACAAGGAATAGTAATTCTGTGAAGGAATGAAGGACAGAAGGCTCTGGACTAAGGGCAGTAAATCCCAAAGAGTCACTAGGAGGTATTAAGGGTTACTCCAGAGAGCTTCACTTGATCTTAGCCAAAACGCCGAGAAGGGATTCCAGAGGTTCTTTATTCAGGTCCATCGTAGCTCCGTCTCTGTAAGGATGAAGGCTACCTTCTCCCTCAGGCACCGGAAAGATCCCTCCTAACAGGGTCTTCGCCGCTTGTCAGATGGAGGAAGACAGGCTCAACAACCCTTTCTGCAGCTACAGTTCCCCAGGTGATTTCATCTTGAAGCAGTCAATATATAAAATTGGTGTATTTTGAAATGGTGTGTTCTTAAACCTTTACATGTCAACTGCATTGTGAAAATGAAATTTTTTTTCTTTTTTAGGATGCTTCAAAAGTGATAAATTAGAAACCCAGGAAAATTTTTTTTTTTTCTAGATTCAGAGCAAGTCTGTTTGAAAATAAAACAACCTGGCCAAAGAAAATCTGCTGACAACTTAAAGATGACTGTTAATTCATTGTGTACTTCCCCTAAAGTACACACATTTTAATTTGCTGTGCATTTCCTACTTGGGATAGGAACCAATCTTCATCTGGTGTAGAGACAGGAGTGAGAAGGAAAGTTCAGGGAGGAGAAGGAGGGACTGACAGCGTTTTTGATGAGCCATGTTCACACTAAACAGTGGCCCAAAAGGCAGTATGATCTTAGGATGGTCATTAGTATAAGCTCTGAGCTCATTCCATCTAAAATTTATGTTCATTGCATCCAGGGTGACCAGGGATTGTCTTCAACTCACTCAAGGTAGAGTTGGGTCAAAATGTTCTATGCAATTATTTTTGTTGATATACACAATGTACTTGCATCATGGCTCCGGCTGGCCTGGGCAGCTTCTTCCTCAAGAGTCTCTTAGGGGAACCAGGCAATCTGAGACTCCCTCTCCCTACCATTTCCTTACCTCACACCCAGAGGTAAATCACTACTGCAAATTTTGTTTATATAGTGAATGGTCTCCCAAGTTTGCAACTAATGAGCCATGACACAATCACTTCTTGAATCTGCGCACGCTATGTCAGTCATTCTTCACCATCAGTATGAGCACATTCACAACAGGGCCTTCATTTGTATGTCTTGCTGCCAGATGGCTCTGAACCATGGTGTCCCATCATGCACGAGTGCCCCATCAGGCAGCACTGGACAGCCATCAGGTGGCACAAGCTGCCCCAAAGCAGTCATGCATATTGCACTGGTGGTTCAAGCTAGCAGGAATGTGTTAATGCTAGGTGGCCTCCAAAGCTGGTTTATAAGACTTGCAACTTCTACTTTCATCTCCTGGAACGTTTGTCCATGGGATGCTTCTTCAGAACCAGCTACTCTTCTGTGAGAAGCCCAAGCCATGCAGAGTAGCCCGGCTAAGATCTCGGCCTGCAGCATCATCAGCTGCCAGCCATGGTAAAAATCCTGTCCAGCCGAGCTTCTAGCAGAGTAGAATTCTAGTGATTTCACATACATTTCAAAGCTCAGTACTGCTATACCTCAATTTTTTTTCTCATCTATAGTTATTACATTACACCTGTGGCTCTAATTTTTAAACTACTAATGAAGTTGACATCTTTTCATGACAATTTCTGGGAAACTGGTATTTCCTCATCTGTAAAATAAGTAGCCATGTGCAGAAATGGTAAAAGTATACTATATGTACATACAAATATGCCTTAATGAAACACATTTTGTATACTATGTACTAACAAAAAATTAGTTATATGTCCTGACGCGTTCCTATATAATGTAAAGAATCTTTAAAATCTCCAGATTATATAATAGTCTGCTGGGTGTATCGTGGAAAGGTACATTAGTGTCATGATTTTTCATTTCCTTTTTTGTATATTTTAAAAATCAGCTTTTTAATGTGAGCAAATACATCAAAAACAAGATAGCTTGGTTGTATTAAGAAATCCTTCTCTGCCTTGAGGTCATGAAGTTATTTCTTATACATTCTTCTAATAGTAATAGTTTTGGGACTGGGGATTTAGCTCAGTGGCACTGCACCCGCCTTTCAAGTGCAAAGTCCTGAGTTCAATCCCCAGAACTAGGGGTGGGAGGTTTTACAGTTTTATAGTTTTGCCTTTCACACAATTAAGAGAGTCAGAATCCAAAGTCTTATGTGTGTACCACTTTTGTATTTCAGAGCACTACCAAATCAATCATTCTTTTTCCATATTCTTTTCCACATATATTCCTTCCATCATAGTTGCTTCTCACATTTCATCTTTTTTTTTCCTGCAGGTTTTCAGTAAAAAAAAAAAAAAAAAAAAAAAAAATGTGATAGTCATCATATTACTAGCTTTGTTTAGATACTTTGGGATTACATCCACTGAGTTTTGTTTAGGATTTTTACATCTCTTATTCACGGATAATAGCAACCTTTAATTTTTCTTCCTGTATGTCCCTTATCTGATTTTAGTACTTGGTGATTGCAGCCTCATTCTCCACTGGAACATTTTGTGTAAGACTTGAATAAACTATTACTTGAAAGTTTGGTAGATCCTCCTTTAAAAACTGGGCCTATTTTCTTTGTGGGATTTAATCCAAATTTAACTCCTTTGATAATTTTGAGGCTACTCATACTTGGGGAAGTTATATTCTCCTAGGAATTGCCAGGGAATGAGAATTTAAAAGAACAGTTGTAAAAAGGTCGGGGGAGCTTTACAGATAATTAAATGCCCAGAAAAGTACGTTCATCTCAAGTTTGAAACAATGAGACCCATTATTCCCTAGAGGTAAAATGAATATCATTATTTTTGTTCTGCTTATTTTGCAAGCTTTATCTGACAGTGCCAAAAGACAGGCAGGCATGAGTCACCTGGTTAACTGTACCTCCTGGGAGGACAACCTGGGCTCCACATCTTCCTGGTCATCTTAGTGACTGGTGACCAGAGAACTCAAGGAAGCAAGCACGGTGTGGAAGCTGACTGTTTTGCTCCCTGTGAGATAATTTCTAATTCTTAAAACATTTATCAGTAAATAAGTAGCAAAAGTGGGTAAATAATCTGAATAACCTTTACTTTTCAATTTAGTATAGCAAAAGTAATTACTTTCTGAGAAAAACATATACAATACTTTGTACTTTGTGACATAAAGTAACTAGATTTGAATCAGAGGTGTGAACAAGTAGGATGAAAACACAAAGGATAGTATACCTGCATATTTCAAAATTTCTTCTCAAATGAATAGCTTTGAGAGCGGAGAAGTAACCTAAAAGTTTTAATAACAACCAACTATACAATTTGTTTTCAGAATATTAGAAAAACTTATAGTGACAGTGAGGTAGACAGTTACCTGTGTACATTCCTTTTTCCCAAATATTATTTCTAGTATAACTGGATTGCATAAGATCTAGATGCCGTTTCAAAAAATAAATTCCTAAACTTAATTTATGGCTGTACTTTTTACCTAATTCCAGTTCCCAATGATGCTTGTGAAAGCTGGTAGCTGTCAAACATCACAAGAAAGAAAGTAAAATGCTAGTCCTCCAATCTCAGTCACAGTTTTAAAGTCAATAACAATTTAAGAACATATGAAAAACATTTTATGGATGCTTTCTTAACATTCCCGAAGTTATCCTGCATGAAGTGTCTACCTGACAAGGTCTAACTTACAAAATTTTACCCACAATTACCTACCTACTCATCACTTTCTCCTCAGGATGAATTCTTTGCTATTCAATATGCAATGGATCTCCCCTGAAAGATTTCTCACATGCATTTCACTCCTATGGTCTTTCTCAATTATGAGTCCTCTGATGATTGGTAAGAGATGAGCTCTGACTAAACGCTTTCCCACATTCTTTGCATTTATAAGGCTTCTCTCCAGTGTGAATTCTCATGTGTGTCATCAGGGATGAGCTCTGTCTGAAGGCTTTCTCACACACTTTACAGCTGAATGGTTTCTCTCCAGTGTGGATTCTCTGGTGCTGAATTAGGGCTGAGCTTTGGTTGAAGGCTTTTTCACAGTCATTACATTTATACGGTTTCTCTCCAGTATGAATTTTTCGATGAGTGTTCACGGCTGAGTGGGAACTAAAAGCTTTCCCACACTCCTTGCAATGATACGGCTTCTCTCCAGTATGAATTCTGTGGTGGATGTTAAGCCGTGAGATCCAGGAGAAGGCCTTCCCACATTCTTCACACTTGTAGGGCTTTTCTCCAGTGTGAATTCTCTGATGTTGGATAAGTGCTGAGCTTTGGCTAAAGGCTTTCCCACATTCTTTACATGCATATGGTTTCTCACCAGTGTGAATTCTTTGATGGATAATGAGGGCTGAGTGGTAACTGAACACTTTCCCACAGTCAGTGCAGTGGAAAGGTTTCTCTCCAGTGTGAATGCGATGGTGTCTACTCAGCCGCGATATTGATGTGAAGGCTTTCCCACAATGACTACACTCATACGGCTTCTCTCCAGTATGAATTCTGTGATGCTGGATGAGAGATGAGCACTGACTGAAGGCTCTGCCACATTCATTACATTTATAGGGCTTTTCTCCAGTATGGATTCGCTGGTGATTGTTAAGGGATGAGCTACCCTTAAATGTTTTGCCACATTCCTTACATTTATAGGGTCTCTCTCCAGTATGCATTCTCTGGTGCCCAATCAGAGACGTGGTGAAACTGAAGGCTTTCCCACACTCACGGCATATGTAAGGCTTCTCTCCTGTGTGAACTCTCAGGTGCTGCGTCAGGGACGAGCTTTGGCTGAAGGCCTTCCTACATTCCTTGCATTTATAGAGCTTCTCTCCAGTATGGATCCTCTGATGCTTACTCAGGGAAGAACTGTGGAGGAAGATTTTCCCACAGATATTACATTTATAACATTTACGCACTGTGTTGACTCCCAGTTGTTTAAACAGAATTGAATACTGCTGTGAACGGGGTTTCCTTCCTCTGGAAACAAGTCCTGGTTTTCTAGTAAGTGATGATGTTTTTGGACCAAGACTTTTCCCAAGTTCAATACCTTTAAAGTTCTTCTCTTTCATGAATGTGTTTTTGATAGTAACTAATACTTTCCTGAGAAGTTTGTTCTTTCTACCTTGTTGCTTCTCCAACTTGTCCTCATCTATATAGGTTTTTCCCAAACTGAAGTCCAAAGGATGATCCACTAAGAATTTTTTCATGGCTTCTTGATTTTCTTCTTTGGAAATGGTGGCTTCAAACAAGCTCTCCCATTCTAAAGTAAATAAAACATGTAAGTCTCCTTGCATTGGGAATAAGAGAAAATGACATTAAAATACTCAAGTACAGCGATCAAATATAGCCTTAAAATCTCAGGGAAGGATGGGACAGGAGCCCAAAAGAGAGAAGCATGATAGACATGTGAGAGTGGGAAAGGTCCAGAGAAACCTACATGCAGAGAGGCTGAGGAACTCAAAGGGAAATTCTTCCAAGAGGAGGAGGAAGTAACCAGTAGCAAGACACTTTTAGTAGAGCTTGTTAATACTTTGCTTCACTCTCCAGGTCTACCACCAGTGCATACAGGTATATAATAGAAAACTGCAGAAGGGCTAAAAAGAAGTGCCCCCAAAGAGCTCTGAGTAACACAGGGTTTAAGCATTGCTGCTATGGGATTCAACAGAGTGCTACAAATCACATGGTGGGCATTCACTCCATTAATACTTAGCAAGTGCCCACCTACAAAAAGAAAGGTCAAAGCTCTGGGAATAACAGGGAATAGGTCAGAAAAGGGCAGACTCTTTACAGGCTTACATTCTAATAGCCAAATAATGATAATGACTGAGCAACCAAGTCAACACAGAAGTACTGGGATTGAGGAGAAATGCAAGGAAACAAACAAAAACAAGGCAATGTGTAATAGGAGTGAATGAACTGATATTTTACAATGGGTGATAAGGAAATGACATTTAAAGATAAAATCTAACTAGAAAGAGCAGGATAGGCAAAAATGTGTGTATAAGGATGATTCCAGTTAGAAAGGACAAAGGCCCTCAGGCAGGAATAGGCTGAGGGAACAAGAAAAGTGCAGCTAATGGGGAAAAAAGGCAGGTAGGGACCCTATCAGGGAGTCTTGTAGGATTCAGGAAAACATTTGGAATTTCTTGGGGGTTAGCAGGAACACGATTTATGGTTTTTGTTTAAAAGGTCCACTTTTACTGGTAGTAAGTGGGAAAGAGAGCACAGGCAGGTGCAGAGGAGCCATTTAGGAAGCTGCTGTAGGTGCCTTGGATGGAGGCTGGCACTAGCACGCAGTTGCAAAGCAGGAAAGAAGTAGGCACTTTTGAGATGTTTTGGGCACAGTGGCTTTTTAACCATAAAACATAGTCATTTACTCTTTGGACCTTTTACTCTGGTTGTTGGGTTTGGTTTTTTTCTTTTTTTTTTTTTTT